TGGCACGTTACCCTTCGTCTGTGTGTATAGCCAAGCGAACGAAGTTGGAATTGAGAAGCAACAAAGACCCCGTATACCGTAGTCTCCTTTGACAAATATTCTAGTTGAATTTTTTATCTGATTTTGACATACTTTCAAAAACTGATTCATTGACAAGAAGAAATCGTATAACTACATCTGGTAAGAGATACCATTTGGATGAAGGGCGTTCGTCAGGGTAATATGGATACCCATAGCCAAGCAACAAAGATGCAACACAGCCAAGTAGCTCACGTTTTAGAATTCCGGCAGTCTGTTGATGGCTGAATTCATACTGCATTTTAGCAAGCTGTTGAATAACATCAGTGATACTGCTTGAGATTCCCATAGTCAAACGGCGCCTATAGACATAATCAACAGCTTTTGCTTCTTGTTTAGAAAGATTAGTCTTGCTTTCAGGTTCATCGAATGTGTCTGGATTTCTGCCCATATCAACAAGATTTATAAACAACTTTACCATATCTTCCTTATCTGGTGGTTTTCCTTTCATAAAGTATCTAATCCTATCAGTCATTGTTTCCGACAGAGTTGAAAAAATCGGGGGCTTATCTTCTGTTTCTTCTGCCGAATTAGTCTGTGACTTCTTGTCAATTTTTTTTCTGTTTTGAATCCATTTAAAGTTCTCCATTGTAAGATTATTAAAAGTCTTGTTCTTTGGAGAATCTGTAATTGGTTGTGTCTTATTGCTATTTGACTTATTTTCTTCAGGTGATAGTTTAACGAGATCTGAAACATCTTGTTTAGTAACCACGAACGCTCTTTCATATGCAGAATCCAGATTATCTGCAGCCCATTTCATCAGATAATCCTCGTCTCAATGGATGCAGATGCCGCTTAACTGATAACAATGAACAAGTGATGTAGCATGCGTCATAACTAATAAATCAGTGCGTTCGTCTAACATTTTCTTTAAATGGTGATATGGTTTCTCGAAGAACATAGCATAGATTGCCCATAATATATCATCAATAGGTGATGCTTTAGTTAATTTAGGTTTTTTAAATTTTAATTTCCCCATCGATTCCATAATTTTTGCGATTTGCTTCTCTGTATTTTGCTGGTCTCCTGAATCTTCCTTTTGAAGCATCCAATATTGCTTAAATTTTGAAACCAAAATACTTTGCATCAGATCTTCATTTTGCGACTGTAATAAAAAAGAAAATTCTATGTCGCGCATGATATGAATAGTGTATTCTGCATGCAATAATAGGCACATAGCTCTGAAAACAGATACCCATTGATTTCCACTGTGCATTTTGATAAAATTTCCTGTACCACTGCTAATATTCTCTTGTTCATGTTTTTTATATGTGCAGAAAATTTGGCCATAATCTTCGCTAATTTTTTGATCGACTGCAAGGCCAAAACTTTATTTGTGTTGTCATTGATGCTTGTACCTGATGTGAAACAAACTTTTTAACATCAAGTTTTTGTAAACTAATAAGAGATGATCTCAATGTATATTCTTGTGTTAACCGCTGTATTAACATCTGCGTAGTATTAAATGAACATCAGCAGAATTGATATATTTCTCAATATCGTCAATGTAGTCTTGAAAATCCACATTGCAAAAATCTTGAGGCGGGAATTCTGTGAATCCGTTAGTGCCTCTAAGTTCTTCGAAAATTTTCCACATATCATTTAATGACCAACCATATTCTGTTCTAGTTTCTCGTGTGTCTTTGATTTCATTTCCAAATTTTTTCAATCGACTGTTAGAATGAATAGTTGGAGTATATAATGGCGAAACAAAAAGTGTCTGAAATACTACTATAAACTCCTTGCAGAATGAAGTTATCAATTCTGATCGGTCTTTAAAAGACTCAATACTTTTTAACATTTTATGTAGTTGACTCATTTTGTTAGATTTCCATTCAGATGTATAATTCATAAGTTCTTCTGCAGCTTTTACAATATGTATATGTAATGTATGGAGTAATTTGTTCTGTAATTTCATCATTCCAACAGAATTTTCGAATTCCATTTGTTGTTTATCATTCATTTCAATCAGTTCAATGCCATGCTCTTTCCATTCATCTTTATTGCCGAGGATATGCCAAGAACTACAACGAAGAGGTCCGAAATCATTATTAGAATTTTTTTCCCTTATTTTTACTGTTACTATTTTTGTTTGTCCCTTGAATTTCAATATCACTACCAGTTAACTTTCTTATGAATTCTTTATTAGTTCTTATCTCTTGAGAAACTTCATTAATATTAAGTAGATCCATCCTTGTAACAAGGACAATTAGATTCTTGCCATTAATTTTTTCAATTAAATCCATTTGTCGAGTCCAAGAAGGATTTTCAAAAGCTCTTGTTGCTGAGATACACAACAATACTATACTGTCATTTTGTGACTTTTGACGTTCAAGGGACA